AATTGTAAATAGTGGTGTACTGGACATTAAATTGCCTTTTGAATGAGTTGTTAGGATGTTGAACTTGAAAGTAGGGATCATTTCTGCAAGTAGTCTTTACTTCCTTCCAAAATGGATCCAGTTAATTTTTATTTTTTATTTTTTGCTTTCCTGGTTCAAGAAAATAATAGCCTGAAGACCTCCAAAATTCTAAGATATGGAAGCTTTATGAAAAGTTTGTTGTTTTCAAGAAAATTGAGATGGGGCATTGCAACAAATTTGACTTAGAGAGGTTCCAGGTACAGTATTAAGGTTCAAGTGTATTGCTGTACCTTGCTTATTTTTTTTGGATCAATTCCTAAGCAGAGAAAGGGACAGAGGTGAGCTGTCACATATCCAGAGTGATGGATGTTAAATGGTCAATCCCAGTGACTTCTGTGCTCCTGTTCAATTGAGGCGAAAGAGAGGTAAAGAACTTTTCCCTTAAATTGAACCAGGAGGTTGGGGGAAGGTGGGGGTCATGGAGGCCCCCAGTGATCAGGCTCTGGGACGTGATATTATAATGGAGCTCTCGTGCGCAGCCGGGCGCCTGGAGCAAGCGCGGAGGAACGTTCCCACGGTCCGCCGCCTCGCTTCCGTCCTTGTGTCTTTTATTTTTTTTACTTTACTCTTTTTTTTATAAGTTATAATGGTCGTCATTCCTCCTCTTCTACCTCTCTCCGTTTCCTCTCTTTTTCTATGCATATATTCTTCTCCTCACCCTTTTGTTCCTTCACCATCACCACCTTCCTTCCCTGCGTCACCCGGGGGTCTTCATCTCGCGTTTCTGAGATCCACCCTGCTCTGTGTGGTGTGCTTCTTATTTTTATTATTTTTTGAATATTCTCCTTGATTTTAATAGGACCATCTCTCTCTTTAGTTGCCGCCTCATTGTTGCCATCAGGCGGTTTTTTTTTTTCAGGCTACCTTATAGGCCGCATTCCGGCATCATGGCTTTTCTCACGCCCCCTGCAAGTCATTAATCCCTTTAAGCTGGCAGGGGTGGTGGTGCCTTTTATTTTTTTTGTATGGGGGAATGGCTGAATGGGAGCTGTTGGATTAGAAGCACCATTTAGGGCGTAATACGAAGAAAAAAAAAAGGTTCAGGTGGGTTGTTGATATGCCACCTCAACACCAATTTTTTGTTGTTGAAAGATTGAATGCGGAATTGTTCGTATGTTGTGATCCTATTTTTTTACATTTGTAGAGATGGTTGAAACATAGATCAGTTTGTCAAGCTTTGATGGTGTAGTTGAAAAAACAATTCCTGCATACTACTTGCATGCTGAAGTTTCCAAATGATTGTTGACTCCCATGAAACAAAAATAGAGACATTAAATGTGTTGGCCAAAAGTTGATGAAATTAATTAACCATGACCCTTAACTGAATTAAATACTGTACTAGAAAAATCTTCCTAAATAAAATGATGTTTATGAACTTCTTTAGACTCGTGAAAATGCGTGAAACGTGTTTCTTCTGATTTTAATCGAAATCAGTTTGAATTCTCTACTTCCTGGATGTTCTCCTAAATGTCCAACAACCAAGATTGTGTCCCCTATCTTGTAAGTGTTTACTTTGGTACTACAGTAATTAGCAATGTAAAATGAAATTGAATAACTTGCATTTAAGTTCTTTCGAATGGAATACATTAGCTTTTTTTGGTAAAAAAAAAAGTTTTCCTGGAGTGTATAACCTATTTTCATTACATTTAATGTCGTCTTATACATAGGAATCAGCAGTTGATACTGCTGATGCTTACATGACCAGTTTATATTCTCGTTGAAGACATTCAACAGGAAATCCGGATTCGGCGTTTATAACTGGACTTTCGAAAACCTCAAGCTCCAGGTATAAAAACCACTGAGTATGTTTCAAAACACTCTATAGCTTTCCAAATGATACAGTACTATAAGAAAAGGTGTCTAAAATTCAAATATGTACAGCAATGCCTCACCTATAACTAACTTTAAATAGTCGCAGAAACCAAATTCAAGGGACCAACAACAAAATTTGTTCTGGAGTGAATACTGTATTGCTGTAGAGAACCCCTTTAACATATGGAGAGTAACCTGTGGGGCTGAAAAAAAAAATTCTTCCAAAAAAGAATAAAAAAAAAAAAAAAAAAAAAAAAAAGTGCACACCCACAATTTGCTTCCATTTACCCCTCGGTTTTTCTCTATATCAAAAATCTTCGACATTACAGTACTTCAGTGACCCACCGGACAGAACCTTATCACTGTAACAGTGATTACAGTCCATCACCACAGTAGTCTGTTAAAACCGGGGTAACAATGATGCCCAACGACGACAGCGACGCCTGAAAAAACTGATCATCATCATCATCATCATCATCATGATGCTGCTTCTTCAGCAGCAATGCCCGCGGCGCACGCGCAGGAAGGAATGAGTATAAATAACAAACAACTAAAAAAAAGAAGATAGTGGGAAGGGGGGAATGGAGCTCCCCCGCGCGCGGGAGCAGCAGAGCGCCATCCATGCGCCACGGATGGCGCATGCACAGACGGACCGAGGAACAAACGCACGGACAACAACAGAGACGAAGACACACACACGCACACGCATACACGAGCGACTGTGGAACGTGGGAACGCGCGCCGGACCCAGCTTCCCACGGTCCGACGGTGGCGCGGAGTGGGGCGGGGTGGGGAGATAGTTAGAGATAGACGTAAGGAGACAGAGGGAGAGAGAGAGAGATAAATGAAGGACGCTGTGGATGAGAAGAGAGCTGCGGCGACGCGCGGCGGAAGCACAGATGCGTTGGAACTTGAGCGAGAAGGCGAAAGAGACAAACAGGAGACACACACACGCACACAAAAGCGAGAAAAGTGAGGCACACATGCACAAAAAAAAAGCTTGTCTACAAGAAACTTCTCTATACTGTACAGAAAGTTTTTCTTCAGCCCCACAGGTTACTCTCCATATGTTAAAGGGGTTCTCTACAGCAATACAGTATTCACTCCAGAACAAATTTTGTTGTTGGTCCCTTGAATTTGGTTTTAGAGAGAGAGAGTCCACCTGTATATGCAGAGACAAACACATTCAAGACAGACACATATTGTGTATGTATAGATAGATACATATGAGGGAGAGAGACAGAGACATGGAGAAGAAGAGGAAGACTGCAGGCTGGATACAAGAACATGCCTCTTCAAGTACTCTGCAGCTATAGTATTTTGTAGCTTATATATCACTGATAAGATCTACAAGGACTAAACACCACAATAATAATTAATCATCTTACCCTCATCCCTATGCAGGTGTTTTCTGCATGTTTATGTCTCACAGAGGACTGAAGAGTGAGGGCAAGCTTCTCCAGCAGAACCTTCAGTCACATTTGATTTGGTAAATACAAAATCTGGGTTGAAACAATTACCCTGGTGACACCATTCTACTGTATCAGATGTTAACAATTAGTTTATTTCAGTAAAATTATGATTCAAAAAGGAAACTTTAATACATTTCCAATATAACATCAGTTGTCCTAAACATTTTTAAAAGTAATGGGAAACAGGTAAATCGACTATCTGATAAGCTCTGTGCAGTGAATTTAATTTTTTATCATTCATCCCCATCCACCAGGGCATCAGCAAACTTGATTCTCCTGATGTTTCTCTCCTGCTTTCTGCAGAATTAATTCAATACACTAATATTTCCAGCCAATTGTCTTGTTATTAAGTTAACCCTCTTATGGAAGTGTCACCATGATACTTTTGTCACGCATATGTTATTACGATCTTGCACTTACTCAATCAATATACTGTACTTGCTGATGCAGATCAGATGACTAGACATGTGTCTCAGCCTCTCAGGTCACGTCTCAGATGCGCAGCAAGTGCGGAAGTAACGCGCAGTCGATGCTTTGCCATAGCGTCCGGCGGCGCGCGGGCAACATCAAAACCCCACGCGCGCGGAGAAATGGAACACCAAGGGAATTAAATAAATGAAACACAGGTATGAAAAAAAAAAGAAATGCAAGAAGGTAAGTATAAGGAAAAGGGGACAAGTTAAGCTCAGCATCCGTCCGTCAGCGCGGAGTGGAGAGAGACACGGAGAGAGAAAATATGATGATGCCCCGAGAGATGGAGAGACTGGTACACGCGCTAATAGCTGACCGCGTGGCTGCCGGCCGCTCATCACAGTCACAGGGTGTCGCTGTTAAGCATCCTCAGACAAAATATCGCCAGCCAAATGAGAGGAAATTTCTTTTTTCAACCACGCATTCCAAAGTATATCCCATGAATGTGATGCAATGCGTTCATTATTATTGGTTGCTTTTTAATTATTGAAACTCTGCTGTCTTTCTACTGTGATTTTGTAAATTTGAATTTGCCATTATTCTCAATGCTTTGTTTGTAAATTTTCATTAAAAATACGATTTACCAAAATATAGACTTAGAGCCAAATCTTGGTTAGTAAACCCAAGGTGTTCCAGGCAATTGTTTGTGTGCTGGATTTAATATTTCTCAAATAATTCAAATATCGATATTTTCTACAAGGAAATTTTGGTATCAATATTTGTTAACTGGGACATAGCAGGTGAAAGACCATATTTCTAAGCTGGAACTTTTTTAGCAGCGTCATTCACCTTTGACTAGCCAAGACATTACTGAATAGGGATTTTGTTTACCAATATGCAATAATAAAAAAGGTAATGCAATGTGTATTTTGCACATGAGGTTTTTTAAAAGTAAGTATGCATGTTGGCCTACACAGAATACATTATTTGAATTTTTTAGATATGCTTCTTTCATCCTGGTGCTCCCTTGCTCTGAATATCTAGTCTAGCTGAATACTGAAATAATCCATACACAAACTTTGAAAAAGCAAGAGAATGCACACTTTGAGGCCTTTAACTGTGAACAGTATTATTGGAAAAAGTATATTTTCAAAACTAATTTTTGATACGCAGTATTTGTTTTTCAATATCTCTATCTCTCTTCCATACATTTGTGTACACATTTCACAACTGGAAAACAAACAAAAAATTAAATAATTGTGCCCAGTAAAACTTGAAATGTACCTAACCATCCACATTTGAGGAAGTTATGGTTAGTTGACATTGAGCATCAATGTTTGATAGTCACATCATGGTTATAAGATCCCTCATTGCATAAGAACTGATGACACTCAATTTCACACTTTATTAGCCAAAAAAGTACCTCACCTAACCAATCTGAATGAATATCTCTGCATCCAAACTAATCATGTCATTTTAGATACTAATAAAAATTAAGTATTTAATTCAGAACTAACCTATAACACTGAATGAAAACCAACCACTCAAACCCTATACTTGACAAAACTCAAAAATTGCACTAATCAAACTCAAAAACCAAACCAACATCAGACTAAACCTAATTTAGCCTATGACCAGACTAACCAAGCTGAGTTTGAGACCATTTAAAAAATAATGCAGATGCAAAGAGATAATAAGTCCTATTCTAGTATAGAAAACTGACGATTATCGTCTTTAAAAAAAATCAACAACAACCCAAACAAAACCTGAAACCGAAGCAAATCACGGTAAATACCAAGCGGAACAGAAAACCCGGCGGGATTTTGTCCTGCTCCCCAGATTTGTATCGCGCCCATCACACGCGCCCCTAAGGCCGTAGGGACACAACACGCGCGGTCAAGTAACAACAGCAAAAAATATAAAATAAAATTATAAAAAAAAAAAAGTGCGTGGGGGAAGCTGCTGCTGCTGCTGCAATCGCGGAAAAGTACTTTACGAGTATGCGCGCACCTGGAAGGCGGAGGGGCGGCCCCGGAGCGTGGGAAACGGGAAGAGGCGCCGCGCACACGGTTCTTCTGGGGCTTCTTGAAATGCGAAACGCCGGTCTCAACATAAACACGCTTCAGGACCATCAGCAGCAACACCAGGATTTGTGACTTCCAAGAGAGCGAGAGAATTTAAAAGAAAACAAGAGAAAATCGCGAGAGAAAATTTAAAAGACTTTCCCGCAAAATGCAAATAACCCCTTTCCATCTTCCGTTCCTCTGCCAACATTCGGCAATTACGAACTCGACACAAATAAAATAGGTCCTTGCTTTCATTTCTTGAAAACTGAATTTGCGAATTAACCAATACGTTTGCTAAACAGCAAGAAAAATCAAGAGCAGGATTTTCCTGGAATTCAAAATACACCAAGAGAACTTGTTGTTATCTTTATTGACAGCTAAATTGTACCCCACTTTGTGTCAATTAGGGTTCTGGTGTCACCTCCGTGTGGGTGTACCACCTGTAAAACCAAATAAAGTACCCTGTTTTCAAGACATTATATCATACAGTATTTACTAATATTTTTCCTAATTCATCAATTCCAGTGATCCCATAAATTCGCCCTTACTTGAAATCAAATCTAAAGGGATTCCTATGTTTCAAAGAATCTTCCTCTGAACCCCAATCCTAGTTGTTTTTACTAAACTCTCACTTCTGTACCTTTTAATGTACCTTGTAAGTCAAGCAGCAGGTGAATGTACCATGTATGTCAAGTTGTAAACTGGTCTGTAGGTCTGTGTGGCACTAAAACAAAAGTTCCTTCAGTCTTGTGCCCCACAAATATATTATTGTCTATACAGTACAGCCAATCTCCTCACAATGGACTTAATTAGTGCAACAGACTAGTATGTTGTGTGAAGAGTGTGTTATACAAATTCAATTACGGTATTAAGAAATTAAAATTTTCACTTTTTACCATTACTTTTAAACCAACTGAAGTCTGTTTGGTGGATTTATTCCATTGTGCAAGAGAAAAAACGGTCTCCATAGGCAGTACATTGTGAAGAAGTCCATTGTGTGGGGGGGGGGGGGGACTACTGTATAGCCCAGTTCACCAGTTTCATACTAGATTCAATCATGCGATTTAGATGACATGTGTTTATGGTTAAAAAGGAATTAAAGTAAAATAAGAATTCTTTATCTATTCTGTATTTCTTGACAACTAGGTAAAATTTTGGGGTTTCTCCACAAAATTTACATGAGAATTTCAAGGATTTGTCAGAATTTTAAAGATAGAAAGTGAATTTTAAATCAATTCAACAGAAACAGGTTTTTTCAGCAACTGAATGGGAAACTCAAACATGGTGTGTTGAATTCAGAATAAATTTGTCATTGTTGAAACAAATTAAAAAATTAAGCAATGGTCCCTATTCATTTTCAGCTAAATGGGACCATGAATATTTTCCAGAAATGAAGTTTTGGTTATTGTTGAAGCAAAAAAGAAAATAAAACAGTATCCATTTATCTTTTCTGGACCTTCTCTGGTCAACGAACAATGTTGCCAATTGGTCAAATTTCACAAGATACCAGATATGAAGAAGCTTTATCCTCCTACTGGACTTCAGACTGGCTGGGGGAAAATGTGGATCCTCAATTGGAATCACGATGACACAATCCTGAAAACTCATCAGCACAACCTTTTGGTGGGCACACCAATGGCAGAGGAACATTAGTGGCCACCATGAGTCTAGAAGAAAAGAAGAACTTGGACATGTGTGCGCCATTGGATTTGATCCTGGCTTCCAAGCGGTCTCCAATGTTAAGGAAGAGTTCTCCAAAGATAGACAGGGATCCTGTGGTTTGCCCACCAAAATAGCCCCTGGTAACTAAGTCCAAGTCATTCTTGAATACAGATACAGAGGATCCATTGGCGACATTGGAGGCTGATTCCAGATGCGCAGACAGAGTCAATGCATAGAATCCAGGTACTGATACAGTGTAGACTCCTGAAGCCAGATCCAGTCCACCTCCATAATTGTGAATCACTTTGTCCAGCACTAAGGTATGCGTACCTAAAAGGGAATATTTTTCAAAAATATTCAAAAATATTGCTTTGGTAAAATATTCAAAGAAATGTTGTGGTAAATTTTGCCAACCTTCTGTCTGAGTTGCTTTGGTGGTGGACCCATGTGCAGAAAAGCCTCTTGTCCTCACAGGATGTATGCGTCCATCTGACAGGAAAGCTGTGGTGCTCCTTGGTCCAACTTTCATGTCAGTTGGGGGTTGTACCACTTCTTGGCGCACCATCTTATGCATAATTTAAAAGTAAACAACAATTGAAGGTCATTCTTAATCATGTAATCCAGCAATAACAAAAAAACTTTTTTTTAAATTGTATTCTACTCTCCAATTGACCATGTAAAGTACATGTTAGCTTTGAACCAGCAGACTTAAAGTATTAACAAGAGGTTCCATTTTTAATTTCCAGAAAAAAGGGAAGCTTACAGGATTAAGGCAAGGAGTCCCATGGTCACTTCTTCCACCTACAGCAGAAATGTGATGCTCCTGGATTGGCACATGTGAAATCTTTATATTTGCATGGGCAATATGCAGATTATTATTATGGCCCTGACCTGCTCCAGGTGCAGCTGCCATTGGTTCCATGTACCTCACATACTGATGCTGAGGAATTTGAGCCCCACTAGCACACCAAGGAAGCGTGGAAAGCAAAACAGACAATGTCACTAGTGAGAGAATCATTTGAAGATTTGACTTAAATTTTCTCTACTGCAAAGAAACTCAACAAGTTTTCTTTGGCAGTGAAAATCGTCCCTGAAGCAATGCAAGTCATGGAATGGAACCTACCACCTTAAATACAGCAGATAGTATACACAGTGAGGATATTGGTCAGGTTAACTTGGGGGAATGTCACAAAGTTTGTAGTTCCTATCAAGAGAATATTTTGATTGTCTTCAGGCGTTTATGCATGGTATGCACTTCCTCTTGAATGAAGGGAAACCCATGAGCAGTACACTTTTTGAGTTTGTCCCAGATGGACAAGTAATGATATTGATTGGATTTTCTTTGGGTCAGAAGAAAATATTGAGATTGAAAACTTCACTGCCCAATGAAATCATTTTTTATTGTGGGCTTAGGTTATTGAAAGCAAGGGAACTACCGTATTTTCTCAAGTACCACGCGCCCTTGAGTAAGGCGCGCACAGGGTTTTTTCAGTTGGAAATTTGGCTAAAATCGTATCCCCAAGTATGACTCGCACCCCAATTTTTAGTAAATCTAAAACCACAACATTTTGAAAATAGAAACAAAAAGTTTGACTTTAGACATGAATTTAACAAAAATCTGAAAAATTTTCAACTTTTTCATTACAAAAAAGTTTTCTTGTCACTTTTTCCAAATTTCTTCATTATGATTAAGTATAATGCACATAGAACTTTCTAAAACTTCTTGAAAAATTTGTACCTGCTTATGACGCGCACCCCTTTTTTTCTTCTGAAATTCAAGAAAAAAGGTGTGCGTGGTACTTGAGTAAATACGGTATTACCCTGGACATCTAAAACCAATCCTGGGTCTCACATTGTGACACTTGCCTAATCTCCTGGTCTTGTTTCAAAGATTGTCAGATGAATATAGGTGGTGCCCTAAAATTGGACCCTAATCCATTGCCAGGTTAGGGTCAAATTGCAAAGTGGTCAAATTGCAATACGATGCCAAATTGGATGTTTTCTACATCTAATTTGACATTTTGAGTTTCTCTGCAGTCAAATTGAGGGGCAAGAGGTCAAATTGCAAGCTGATGTCCCAGTAAAATTTGATTGTTGAATTGTGGGATGGTTGAATTGCAGGACATCAAATTGCAAGGTACCACATGGAATGTAACAGTTTTTGTCTAATCTGTTATTCTTATCAATTTTGGACATTATTTAAAATCTTCCATGCTTGTATTTCCTTGCACTACTTCTACATAATTCTGAAAGTTTATAGATGGAATTCTATTTCAAATTTAGTCATCTATGAGAAAACGTGCATCAATGCAAATTTTCTCCATGCCAGCATTTGGTCATGCAAAGACTTAAAAACGGTGCTTTAATTTCCAAAACCAACATGTTCGAAAGATATTTAAAAAAATAGAAAATTCCTCCTGGTGCTTTTTCCCTGAACATCCCTTTTCTTGTCACAAACATTACTTATCCTAGTGGTCTGTTGGACAGTTGAACAGAGAGATATGGAAAGTAAAATGCCGAAAGGAGGAAACGGTTTTTCCTTCTTAGAGTTTCCGTCACAAGAAATCCATCATGATTTCCGCATTCAAGACTTCCTTGCGGCATTAAAAAAAATTTTGTTGCTGTTGCCATAAGCCTTTGGAATTCCGGGCAAATCCCCTGTGAATTGAATGAATGAGGACGTTGTTATTATGTTACTGTTGCCACTAGGGTGGTCCCCCCTCGAAAAAAATTCCGCCACCTGTTGTGCCCAGGGTTCAGGTGCGACAACAGTAGCTTTACTATTTTTTTTTTTACATTTTATATGTGCTGTATATATAATTTTTTTTTTGGAACGCCTTCCGGAATGCTTGGAGGTGGTGTGGGAAATGGTTGGGATAATGTGCTGGAACTAGTGTTTCAACGCCTGGGCTCTGGATACTTGGCATTCTTGCTGCCTTTTTTTTTTGGGAGGGGCAGACACACCTTTTTTTCTTCTTGTGGTTACACCTTTTCAGGTGTGAAAGTGTGAAAAATGCCCTGTGATTACCTAAGCCCATTTTCTTGGGAGGAGTTTTCATGAAATATTGTTCCACCACATTCCAGTCTTTCTCTTGCTTTTGGGGGGTGTTGTGAAGGAATTGTTTTGAGGTGGTTCCTATTGTTGACTCACATTTCTTCAAGATTTGATGCCTGGTGGTTTTAAAATTTTTTGAATTTGCCCTGTAATTAGCTGAGGCCGTTTATTTTTGGGAGACTAGCTGGAGACAACAGCAGGGGCTTTCCAGAAATTCTGCAACTGCATGCTTTTGTGTTTAGGAGGAAAATTACTTCAAGGTTTTCCTTGCTATTTTTTCACCTTCTTCTGGGGCAACTAATGACTTCTACCCAAGTAAAATTATGGAAAAATAAGATAAATAGCATGTGGACTGATCAAGTAAAGATGGTACCTTGCAATTTTACGCTAATATGTTGCTGAACTAGGGTTGCATTGCAAAGCAGTTGAATTGTGAGATGTTTTAGGAAATTCAAAAATATCAGTACAGAAATGCAAAAAAGTGGCCAAAGCTGGTTGAATTGAGGGGCAAGAATAAAATTGCAAGTCAACCTCCCTGCAAAAAGGATGGTCAAATTGTTGGAGGTCAAATTGCAAGGTACCATCTGACCTGAGCCTCTGCTTTCCTTTCAGGAGAAACTATTTGAGGTTACAGACTAACTTATCCCTAAAATCCAAGTCAGTGAAGGTGGTCAAATGTTTTTTTTGCCATCATATGTCCAAAGAAAAAATTGGGGACATACAATTGATAATTTCAAGGGAAAGTGTGGGATGAAGGCAAAATTAAGGGGATTTTTTTGGTGAGGAATCCCAATGTTTTCTTCAGAATTGTATGTATTAGAAATGCACTACATGAAAAATTTTGAATAAAATGCGATCAAATAATGCCAATCAAGCTATTGATTGACATTTTGATGCTAAAATTCCTGAGCATTGGAAACATTTTTTGGTTCCTTTCGCCTCTTGTACCGTTTTCTCCAATTTATCATTGAAAGCATTCTCATATCTGCTAAATCTTTTCTATGCAAAAAAATGTGTCTTTTCTAAATTTTTCATTGTGTCCAGCTGATCTTTTCAGACCAGCAAATATCTTGTTCTCAATGCCTATATACACCTCCCACCAGGACGTACACTGAAAATAAAATAAAAAAAAAGGTCACAGGTTTCGGCGGCAAGTAAAAAGACATTCCAATGTCAGGGTCAGACCAGGAAGAAACATTTCATTCCATTGTTGCTGTTTGGAACGTGTTCCCTCTCTAAATATCGACCTCACCCCTGCAAATTACAGTCATTTTTCCTGGGGGAGGTGAGAATTTCTTCGGGATGCCAGGAATTTTTCCCCGAACTAGTCTTCGGAAGTTGAGCATAAAGGCGAAACAACTTTATTATCTTTCCCCATTTCGTTCTGCGAATGTGCCGCCGAAAACCGCATTTTTTCGCGTTTCCACGTGGAAAAAGAAATCATTAATTGCGAAAAAAAAATTTAAAAATTCGCTTAACCAACAGGAAATACCGAATAAATCCCGCTTCTAGTCGCTTGTTTGCGATATACATTGAATTCATGTTTTTCCCCTCCTATAAGCAGGGAAAAGAAAAAAAAACTTTTTCTCACGGATGAACGAAGATACATAAGGGGAATTCCATCCTTTTGCTTAAGGGATAGAAACCCGTAGACTATAGAAGAAAGGGGTAAAAACAGATAAGATTGGGGGAAAAACCAAGAAATGGCACAGAGAAAGAGATACTGTATAGTACAGTGTGTGTTTAGGAAGGGGTCATTTCTAAAGTTCTTGGGAGTGATGGAAACAGAAGATATTTCATCAAGAACCTTATTGGCTGAAGTTATACCAGAAACCTTTCTAAAACTTGAGATTTCCTTCAATATAAAGATGCCTTCTTTTGACGAGACTGATCAATTGAACAACATATTTTTTAATTGGCTCATTTCAAGTATCCAATAATTTTTTTGAAACACTTCATGATAAACTATATTGGATAGAACATTACTTGCCCTAAAACTTAATCTTTAAAGCCCAAAAATGTAAGGAAAAATCTAGGCATTACTATAAGACATGCACTGCACTTTCAATTCCCCCCAAAAATTGTAATACAGTTTGTTGAACTGCAATAAGCCAAAAATCTCCCTGAGTCAAATGTTTTCAAGTCTCTGTCTGAATTCCATTAGAATCTATGGATTGAAAACCTCCATAACTCAAAATATTTTTCTCTAAAACCTCTGCAAATCAAATTGTCTGAGGTCATTTGGTTATCATTTCCTTGAAGAATATCTTCATTTACAATTTACTGCCTTTTTAAACTCTTTTCCTTGCAACAAAAATGTTTGTTGAAACCTCCCTGAGGCAAGTTTATTTTTCCTTGTCCCCAGAAATTCAACTTAGATAGGTTTTATCATTGCAAAGATAAACCAAGTAGAAAATTCAATTAAGACAATGTGAATCTGAATTCATCCTAAGTATTAATTATGATTGTTCTAGATTTTCAGCATCAGCTGCTTCAATTCTTTAAAATGCAGTTTGCTCTGAAAAAAAAATGCTCAAGATTCTAAATTTTCCCCAGGTTCAGGATATTCACCAGTAAGTCTTTCCATTTATCAGCAGTTTGTAACAATAATTTCATTCTGCTTTTTTCTGCCACTTTAGGGGGAAGACATGCATGTGGAATTTTATTAAATGGGACAGGTTTCATGAGTTTTAGCTTATTATTTTTTTAAAAAGTCTCTCCATTTTTAAAAGCTTCATTTTTGTTGATGGGGATTGAAAAAAATTAAATGAGACCAAAAGATTGCCAGGAATTGAAGCAACAATGACTTAACACATCAAATTGAAAGCTTGTGAATTTTCTGTTGTTTTAAAGATCTTTTGAAGTAACCCTCATGTATCTCTTCATTTGGAATGGGTAAAAAGGGAAAACATCAATCCAGTGTCTTGGGATTTGTATTCAACAAGGTGGGCTTTTCATTGTTTCATTTATTTGGTACAATTGAATGTTCTTTCGAGTAGACAAATACAAAATAATTGTGCTCGCATGCGACAGTGATGTGGGGCTTGCAAGACAATATGTCTTGTGATGAGGTTGCTTTGGTTTTGATTTTTTCTTGAAAACAAGCTCCCCTCTTCCTTGACAGAGACTTGGAATCCAGTAAACAAGTCTTAAGGAAATAACTCAACCTTAGTGGACCCAAACCTTAAATTATTCCTGATAATCTGAGCTCATATTGTTGGGTGCATGGCAAGTCTTGTATTGAAAATTCAGTTCCTTGTGAGTTGATTCCAAATATACATTTTTATTTTCCTTGTTGCCTTGGCTGGGTAGTTCCTTTGTGATTGTAAAAATGTGTGCCAACAGTTCTCCTCACAAATTATTTCCATATCTTATCAACCCCTTGCAAATACATTCAACCATCTCCACATCAAATTTCTAGGGACCAGGAAAAAAATTGGTTTCTGATTTTTGGCAGTTCCCATCAGTAAGAAAACAAACATTTTTGTCACCAGGAAAAGTAAAAAAAAAAATCAAAATTGTGAATGAGGATATTCTGGGCCTAAACTTGCTTCTCAATGAGTTTACACCTTGCTGAACTTGGAGACAGGCATTCATTTGCTCTATTAGTCTTTCACTTCCTTTCAAGATCCATCAAATCATTTGTTTTTTGATTTTATCTTTCATATTTCAAGAAAAAAATAACTAAAAGGCCTCAGAAAATTTGACTTGCAGAGGTTTTAGAGAAAAAAAGACTTTAAGTTAGGGAGGCTTTTGATGCATTGATTTTAAGTGAGTACAGACAGGAACTTGAAAAAATTTTGACTTAGAGATGAGGTATTTGAATTAGGGAGGGTTGACTTATTTAGGTTAAAGTGTAATAAAATCCATAGGTTTTGAAATGTGTGATTTTGTCCAGGAATTCCTTGCTATTTGATGTGCAACATGATAAAAAAACAAAAATCAGAGCTTGCGTTTTGTACATGCATGATTTCCTGCAAAATCCTTGAGAAAAAGGATTGAAATAAAAAAAATTATAAATTTCTAATGATATTCAGAAAAGTTGAAAAAGTTCTCTCACATTTGATGCTTCATGCATCATCAGTCCTGAAAGGCAAACATGGATAATGCATTAATTCAACCATTTCTTGGCATCTTTGTGATTCCACTACTTTTTAAATCAAGGCAAGATTGAAAGAGAGGTTTTCAAAATGACACATAACTGCTACTTTTGGCTCTATTTTTGGGAAATCCTATGAAACCACCTAATCAATCATCATGGCATAACATTTCTGCATAGAAGCTGGATGTAGATTCATAGCTGCACTGCCAGGAAAGAAAAATCTGTGAAAAATCCTCTGCACTGGGAAATCATTGGAGGAAAAGCTTCACAAAGATAGTGTACCTGTAGTGCATTTGATTTCAAAAGATTACCCAGAGAAAGAAAATCAGGCTCCACTGCACCAAAAGCATTTTCTCCTCTTGCCCCTTCACCCCAAACCAAAAACACCCACTCACTTGGAATGCTTTACAAACCCCCCACCCCAACTTCTCTATGGAAAACTCTGGACACAAAAGGCAGGGGGAACTGAAAAAAACACCCCCCCTTGTGCAACCCTACTTTCACACGCGTGCCTCTTGAAAAGGGGGAGGGGGGTCACCCAGGGGTACAAAATATATATATATCTACCTCACCCCCCAACCCCAGAACCCATCATTCGCAACCTGAGCTTCACCCAGTGCACAGCAAGCAAGAGGAGACAGAAGAAAAAAAAAATCGAAACAGAGTTCCCCCCTCCCCCCTCTTGTGCGTATACGTCCGCGTGTGTTAGTGTGTCCTGGGAACCCATACCGTATACCAGTCACAGTCCAGTTCTCAACGCCAGTCAGTTGCACCCCAAGCTTCGCAGGGAGCGGATCAAAAGAGAAGCTCTTCGAAGTTACCCGTAGAAATATACAGTGAAAATTAGTGCGACAGACGTCGTCGTTACGCTGGACCTACGGAGAAGATAAAGACAGTGGGACAGGGATTTCGAGCTTGTGCTACGGAGGTCATTTTCTTCCTTCACTTGGAATTATTATACTCAGTTGCGCTTGAGTGTTGGTGTCGAGCGGACGGACTTGGTCATGTCTGACAGCAGGAGATTCGATGAAGCCTCTGTGGCCAAACGGAGGTCTTTCACTCGCCGTCTGAGGGCGCTGGTTGTCAAAATCGCAGAGGTGAGTTTTTTATTTCATATTCCTCGTCGCTTTCGTACTCTTGTGATTGAAATGAGTGGTCCGGATTAAGTTTTGGAATGATTCCGCTACTATGTAAAACCTGGCTTCTGAAACCAATTTTTTCCTTTGAAAATAATGTTGCGTGGTCGGGAAAAATCACTCGGCGTATTCTCATTTACAATTCATTTAACGGTGATTTTGAAGAATCTCCTGGCTTCAAGAATATTGATGGAATCTGCGGTGTTCTGTACATTGAACCATAGCCGAGATCCGAAATTTTTTATAATCCTTCGTGTAATTTCGCCGTGAAGTAAATTCTTTTTGTGTCTCGTCGAGAAATTAATTGGACTATAGCTATTCAAGTGCCATGTGTCGAAGTTTTCCGGGGTTTTGAATTCGAATTTTTATTGAAATCTTGACAGATGGCATTGCGAAAGCTGGAGGCGGATGAGTGCGCAAGCGCGGAGTCGAGTCGCGGACCAGAAGCGACATCTGTGTTCAGCCCTGTGTGGAAGTTCGAGGAGCAGCAGTACGCGGACGCTCAGGTTAACGCTGAGAATCAGAAAAACGAGGAGGCGTGGCGTCGCCTGTCATGGCTGTCGGCGGAGGAACGGGATAATGAGCTGAATGAACTCGCAGTCCAACACGTGTACGACGTGCCGAAAAAGTGCGACGAGTTTTGGACGCAATACGGATTCCGGGATGCGGAATGGGGGCGGTGTAGCGGGCTTGAGGGGCGGGCTGTGTCGCGTGGGCTCAGGCCGCGCCCACAACAAAGCCCTCCCCGGGCACAACACATCTACTCCCTGTGATAATTCCGTGCGGAATATTATTGTTTGTCTTCCTGTGTGTGTTTTCCTGTTTTTTATATTTTGATTATTCGTAAGTGCCTGTGAGAACGATCTGGGAACGTGTGCGGGAAAAGAAATTGCCATGAATGGCTGTTCAAAAATGCGTCTGTTCTTCCTTATTACAATTTGGGTGGGTCTCAAGGTTAAGTGGAGGATCTTCACCGAGAATTCACATCAAATCATTTACTAAGTTACGCATAAGGAAATTAAAGCAGACAAATAATCCGAAAATCTTTCACGTGGATCAGACTTCCGAGTCGTAAGCTCCGAACTTGTCAGAAGATCTGATAATCTAGAGCGAAATGCGCACTAGAAATTCGAGCATTAAATCTTGTAAATCAAGACCAGTCTTGACGACATTTTTTCCATCTGAAGATAGCGGGAAATTCCGGAAATGTGATACAACAAAACGTGACAAAGTTAATGCGCAATGAGCTCCGCCCAACGACATGCGCGGATTTTACTCCTCCCATTTTCACGCACAGGCGCGGACGAATCACGGCGCAGCGCACCAGAACCAACGCGTTACCTGTAAAAAAAAAAATGGAGCCATTTTTGTTTTTTTTTTCCTGTTGGCCTTCAACAGATATTAAACTTGCATTTCTCGTCAACATGTCTGATCATCGAAGCGCACAATAAATCGAGCAAAAGCCATGGAATGATGTCACTAAATTTGCCATGAACGAGATCTAAAAAAAACCTATCGAAAACAGTGGCACAAAGAAGACAAAATCTGCGGCCGATGGAAAATTTCCAGCACCACTGAATTTGGGGAATTCCACCGGCTTTCAGGTGTAACATGATAACCTTACATACTCGGGAAATTTGATCACATTAAGACTCATCAACAGGGGAAAAAAAAATCATCCCACAACTTTCATCTGTTTTCAGGAATGTCTTCTTCAATGGAAAGATTTCTTTTCATACTCTACACTCACATTTCGATTTCAGAATTCACTGTTAATTTTCACAATTCCCCTAAATTATACGGTTAGTGCAGTCTAACCTTTGTAACGAAATTTCATGCAAGTCAAATGTATATGACACATTTTGGATTTAAAAACGATTTTTGAAATTTACTGGTCTATAGTCCAAAGAGACGGTACTAAAATATCTCATGAAATTCTCCGATCCATTGAACGATTAAAAAATATCATTTTTTCTCCTTGTTCACGATTTTTCCACTTCGAAATTTAATATTCATCATCGCTGGAGAATCTTTTTTCCAGCATATCTTTAGAACAATTTTCACTAGAGCATTTTGCTGGAAAACATAATCTTTCTGTTCAAGAATGTTGAATTGTCCAGAACCTCCGAATTTATAAAAGAAAATGTTGAAATTCGGTTAGGAATTTGATACCGTAATAAAATTTTACGAGTCCCTATGAGTTTGCTGGTAGAGGATTTCATCTTTAATTTTTACAATGTTTGAAATATGGACATTGCAACATACTTCATGCACACACAAGAAAATCACAGTCTGATGAAGGCTTTGGTTCATATGTCCAATTTGAAGAGCCCATTCTGGTAGATACTGCATTTTAAGCTTCAGCAACTTTTTAAATTGATCGATTTGGAATGAAAAGTTACGGGACATGTCTCACGCATAGCACATTAAACTTAGCCGTGTCTTATTAGAATGGACTGGGTCTCCGTTAGCCACAAAAATGGAAGAATAATAATAAATATCAAGAGCTCCGGGAACACCATTCTGACACGTTTCCAGGTGTGGGGGGAAAGGTTATCACATTACACCTCTAAATACTGAAAAATAAAATCACTCGCGAGATTTGTTTAATGTTTTTTTGATTGGTCACCACGGACGCCACATGGACCGGGAATTGGGTGCGAGGCAAAGGGGAGTGTCCTGCGCAGCAGCAGCAGCAGCTGCCGCCGCCACCGCTTCTGACGACGGAAACCAGGACACCGCAGGCGCCATGACACCACTCCCGGTAGGATTACCGCCACTTCCGCATGCCACCGAGTGCAAGCTGCGGACGCAGTGGGCGAGGTGTCCGAGGAGGCGGGAGCTGAGCGCAGGCGCCGCCTCCGCTCCCCCGGGCGGGCACCAATGCCGCGCGAGGAAGCTGGACACCTCGGAGGCGCATCTCGCGAATCCCGCGCGGAACCGCTCCTCCTCGTCATCGTCGCTCTTGCCGCCATTTGTCAGCAATTGGCCAGCGGTGTTTGTTCCACTCTGCTGCTGCTGCTGTTGATGCTGATTTTGATTTGAATGATGGGTCTGTTGCTGGCGGCGAAGCTTCCGCAAGTGGGACACAGTCAGCTCCAGCACGTCCGCCTGTATCAACAGCAAATTCTCTTCACCGGAGTTTCTATACACGTGGTTAATTTCGTGGGTGTTGTTGTTGTTGATTACGACAGGAGTCCATTATTTTTTTTGCCGATGAAGCAGCAAACTCATTATTGGGACCGAGAGAAAAATCGGGCATAATGAAACATTTGTTACACTGCAATTCTCCGAGTAACCTTTTTTAATAAGTCCTTCATACCCGAATGTTGTCTTTGACTTTTTAAAATGAGTAATTTCTAATGCATGACATTGTAAGAAGATATCATCGCAGAGGTAATATAGAAGCATTACAAGAAAGTGTCCCCATTAACATTAAATGTCGTAGCAGTAGACCAATTTTTAGATCCAACGTTATTTTCTCAGGAGTGGCAATTTTTAATCAAAATTTTCATAATTTTTTCCTTTATAATTATCAGACACGTTAGGGGTAAAAGTTCACATTTTCCCAAAATTATGATGCAAACCTTGGAACGTCACCAAAAATTGACTAGCAATGCTTCTTCCAATATTTTAGCTGTCCTATATAAGGTTCGATAAAAATATAATTCTGAAAAATCTTGCAGTTTTTAAAATTATCTATACAAAGTGGAAATAATTTTCTTAACAATTACATCAGAGATAATATGGACACGTGGAAAAATGAAATAATAGTTAAAAACAATTGGATTCTACATTCATTTGAGCATACATATTGTACCTTCACATTTTCATGTGCAGTTGATCCCCCATGCAACAAACCTCCCGCACAACAGATTTTTGCACAATGGACCGCCTCTAAAGGCAGTTTTCCCTCCTTTGCAAAATACTAAATCCACATAACAGACTTCTGTTGGTTTAAAATTAATGGTAAAAGATATATATGTTAATTTTTTAATAATTGGATTTGCATAACAAACTTTTCACACAACAGACTAGTGTATTGCAAAAATTAAGTCCATTGTATGGGAGTTGATGGTAATTTGAAATATTCTTGGTTTCAAAGTGTTTTCTTTGTGATTTGAGTTATTCAGTATAATGCAGACCTAGATTGAGAATTTATGTTGAAAACTTTGCACCTACATAGGTGCACACAAATGTTTCTCTTTAGAAAGACATTTCTGAAAGAAAGGCGCGAGAGGCACATTACCTATAAATGCACAAGAGTAGGATTTTGTTAGAACACATCTATAATTTAACAAATGCCTCAGTTCAAGGATATAGTTAATTTAGGAGAGCTCAGCCCAAAAGACACAGAGCAATGCAATCATGGCTAGAAAACACAATCCATATCCATTCCAGGAAAATGTTGTCATGTGCAAACTTTTTGAGCTGGATTTTTCAGATACTGTATTTTGACTGCTTCTTAGAAGAAGGAACCATAGTAACCCAATGAAAGGGAATGTGTAAATACAGTATAGTATTTTAACCATAAATGTGTTTCAGCAGAGGCCTCTGCTAGTTAAGATCCCATTGTATTGATTTTAAAATTTATTTGGCAAAAACTTTGTATTGTTATGACAAAGCTTTTTTCTTGGTCCCAAGGGCTATGCTGAACAAGATGTTACTGTACATAAGACTGCATAGAAAGTCCTTGCTAATTGAGATTGTTTGGTTATATGAGTTAAGAGTGTGGAAAAGATGCAAACCTTTTCCAGTTTGGCAACATTCTCCCCCTCAGCCTGCAATGCTGTCACCATGAGCTCCTTAAGCTCATCCAAACACCTGTTGATCCTCGCTCTCCTCTTCCGCTCCAACAACGGCTTCATCACTTTCCGGTACTGATAAGTACGGGACACCGGTGCTGCCTGATGATGGTGGTTCTGTTGATGCTGGTGCAGGGTGTGACCACTGGCTGAGAACAGATCATCAGGGTCCTTGTGAAGGCGGTGGTGGAGGAGGTGATTTTGCAGATCAGGCGACGACAACGGAATGCCAGGGGCGCCTATTTGTGTGCGTTGTGGAGGCGGCGGCGGCGCGGAGGGCGGGGCTGGCAGAGTGGGCGTGGCCGTGGGGGTCGATTGCTGCTGCTGCTGGGGGTGGTGCCAGGCAAGGGGCAAGCCTAGTAGCCAGCTCGGAGTGTCTTGCAAAATGCCTCCGAGCATCGTCTGACGGCTTATCTGATGGGAAAAGGCGTGGATGAATTTGCAAAACTTTGCTCAACATTCATCAAAATTTTTAAAGTTCTCCAGTCTTTTTTTTCAAATAAAAAATTTATTCAATTTGTTTAAAAGTTTTAAAGAATTGTCTTGAAAATGATTTGGCAGCATTGAATATGTGCCAAAACTGGCGAGCTGTAGGACATCTTATCAAAACAAATTGGACAACCTTTGAAAAAGACTTTTACAAAGCTATTTTATTACGCAGTAATTTCAAACCAGGACACACTGTATATGCAAATATCTGGGGGAAAAACTTGCGGTAAAAAAAAAATCGTCGTAAAATTCGTGAAATTTTTTTTGGAAAACTGCTGAAAAACTTTCGAACTTTCGAAAAAGCAGGAAAAATATTTTTAAAAAGACGGAAAACTTTTTGACACACATCGGACAAAAATGGTTTTCTGCTCACCACGTTGATTGCACATGAAACATCACTAAATTAAACCCTCTTTTTGATACAGTATACGAAAAAAGGGAAAATTTGTAATTACTGTACTCACGGATTGGCAAAAATGTCTGGGCACACACGACAGCAACTGTGGCACAGAAGACAATAGCCCAACAGGATGATTCTTGTCCTTGTTCCGCTTCCGGTCTTCTTCCTCTTCCCCATACTCGACATCGTCATCGACATCCTCCTCCTCTTCTTCTTCTTCTTCTTCATCCCACTCGTCGTCATCCTCGTCATCGTGTTCATGACTTTTGCTGCAATTGTTGTTGTTGTTGTTTCTTTCAGGAACATCTACACGAGTCTTCGTCACTGTCGGCACTCGTCCTCTGTCTTCGTCGTCATCATCATCGTCATCGACGTCATCTTCTCTCAACATTCTGGACTTGATGGTCGACGTTGTTGTCACAGTCATTGCGCACTTCGACGACGACTGGTCGCCGATTTCATATTTTGTTTTACAAGTTATTTAATTAATGGCCACTCATTCGCGTAACAAGTGACGAGATTTCGGCCCTTTTTCGCTGCCCCGGAAGAAACCGCGACACTTTTAAGATCAGTTCATCGCAGAATCGGAACCTGGAATGGATTTCATTTTGCATTGTCACTGGTGTCGACGTCGAGATGAGTCAACGAATAATGAAGAGAAAGAAATACTGTGTAATGTAGTCAAGAAAAAAATTGCTGCGTCGATTTTCGTGATTTATGTTTAAAAAAAAAGAATGGGAGACAGAAATATGGGAATAAGTAATTCGATGACGTCGAAGTTTTGATGTTTTCGCGATTCATAATATGAAGAATGATATTATGAATGAAGTGTCGAGAATCGACGCATACATAATTTGCAATTTGCTGAATCATTCACTTGAGGAAATAAGTCAGAGAAGGTCCATCCATTATTACAATTTTTTCTCGCCAATCCATTTGGCAAGCGCAGAATATTTTGCAGTTTGAATACTCAAATTTCATTTTACTGCTGTTTCAATAGAGTAAATTTTTTTTTTTTAATTTGGCACATTCGCAGAATGTTAATCCTTGAAGTCATCCAAGAAATGGGTTGACTTTGAAAACTATTTCAAAAATGTTTCATCTCTGTAATTTCTGTAGAGTGTTATAAATTTATAATCAAATATTTTTGAAAAATCTCATTCCGTTTCATGTATTAAAATTAATATAAAAAGAAACACACTGTTGGTGGTAACAGGCAAGCCAAGATGATTTCCATGAAGGAATAACACAGGGAAAGCATGACAAATAAAGTAAAAAAAAATTATCCAGCGTTGTCCAGAGGACAGATTGATTTGTCCCTCATGTGTAGATGTCACTGGCAGACACAAGAACAATTCAATGAGGCACACCTCATTGAAGGTTCTCAAAGTATGTTTCTATAAGCACTGCAACAGTATTATACAATTTTTCCTTGGATTAAGAAATAAAATAAAAATTCTTTACTTCAAATTCATGAATTTGGGGCAATGAATTTGGCAAACGGAAATATCCTGGCTTCTCCACCCAAGGGTTAAAAATTAGGTGGTTAATTGTGCTCTCAATTCTTCATACTCAAATGGTCATACACACACACACACACCTCATTGAAAGTTCTCCAAGTATGTTGCTATAAGCACTGCAACAGTACCATTATTATTTTTTCTTGGATTAAAATAAAACGCTCTTGAATGCGGATGACAAATTGTTGGATTGGAGAAAAGGGGACGGGGGGGGGGGGTGTTGAGGGTTTAATGAAGTGTGTGAATGAAAGAAAGACACACACACACACACACAGAAACACGTGTGGCAGGCGTGTGGGCGCCACCAAGAGTGCCGCCACCGCGGATGAAACATAGCGGCCGCCCCGCGCAGCGCCCGGCGTCTCTCTGGAAGCCTTCAAGGCGGCTTCCTCGCGTTTCGGCCCCTTGTTTCTTCCCCCCCCCCAAGCACACCGTTTTTATTTTCCTCTCTTCCTCAATTTTTTCTTTCTTTCTTTTCTATTCATTTATATTTCTGGTCCTTGTTTTATTACGCGTTTTTGTTCCTTCTTCTGTGGCTACCGCTTCATCTTCCTCTCGCTCCTCCTTTATTCATATTTTTTCCTTTTGATCCGCGTTGAAGATTTTTGGACGCCTGGGGCACTTCCGCTTGCCGCCTTCCGATTCCTCTTCGTTTCCGAAAACAATCGAATTGAATGAGAGCTAGGTTGAAGAAGGCCTGCTTTAAAAGTGGCAAAAGGTGGGGGTTGAATCCAACTAGCACTTCTCATGGAATTTTCACTTTATAATGTCTGACAGTATTTTGAAAACTGCAAGTTGGACCGTGATGTAAGGAAGTGGATCAATAAAAAAGGAATCACTGTATTTATTTGGGTATCATGCACTTTAATTGAGAAAGGTGGTGAAATTAATTTTTCAGAAAGGAAGGGGATCAAAATGAGTCCCTGAGTAAGATACAAACCCCATTTTGAAGAGGAAAATTGCAATATGTATTTTCAAAGTGAACTGCATCCAAATTTGAATTTTGATATGAAATTAAGTTAGATTCAATTTTACTTTTACTGCACATAATTTCCAAAATTTGAGTTGTCTGTTGAAATTGTTTAAAATCATCCCCTTGGAATCAAGTTTGACATGCACCAAAGCTTTAGAAATTCTTTAAAATTTTTATACTCCTCTAAGACATGTACCCTCTTTTTCTCATTATTTTGAGAAACAAGTGTGTGTGTCTGTGTGTGGTACTTATAGTACTCAAGTGAAGATTCTACATACAATACAGTCAACCCCTGCACAACAGACCTCCTGCACAACAGATTTTGGCAGAACAGACTGCCTCTGGAGGCAGATTTTCCTTGTCCATAACACACAAATCTGCATAACAGACTTTGGTCTGTATATAAGTTAGCGCTTCCAGTGGGCATGAGTACCTCACATCTCCTCTTGCTTCCCAACTTAATTTGAATAGAACATTTCATTATTATTGCTGTGAATGCGTGTATGTGTGTGTGTTGAGTTTTTATTTTATTTTATGTTGTAATCTTGCTTTTTTTGCCTAAGAGTAAACATATAAAAAAATCACATTTGCACAACAGACTTTTCACATAACATACTAGTCTGTTGCAGGAATTAAGTCCATTGTACATGGGTCAACTGTACAAAGGAAAAACATGAATATTTTGGAGAGAAAAGATACACCCTATGCATGAATTGTGTTCAGCATAGGAAACCTTTTTTTCAAGAGGTTCATACACTCAAAAAGATTACATACTTGATATTATAAAACATGAGAACCCTGTGATGTTTTTGACACAATGTCACTCTGAGTAATTTTCCTATTTTTCCAAATCCAAGTCATTAGTAAATGTAAGACAACCCAAAGAATACCACATACATTGAATGATATGCACCTAGAACTTTTTTGTGAGTAAGTGAGAAAATACGGTAATTGTTGTACAGTACATCACATCTGACCTCATCTGCAAAAGGGCATTTTCATTAAAATATGGAACAACTTAAACTTTCACGGACTTCAAAAGAAATCCATAAAATTTCAAGAAGAATATGGTTAAAAAAACCCAAAATAACGGCATGGTATCCAAAAATTCTAATGTTCAAGCATTGACGCGTTGCACCGAAAAATGAAATAAAATACTGTATATTGTTAAGAATAAAGCTTTCAAGCATTCAAAAGCACTATTTAATTTGACCCATCCATAATCAACGCCGACATCATTTTCAATCTCGACATGAATTGACATCAATCCCTTTAATAAATAATAACCATCCAACTGATTAAATGTCAAGCTTATGATACATATTTTACATTTGACCTCGTTTCAGTAATGCAATAAAAAACACAGCCGATCATTGCAAGGCAAATTATTATTTATAAGAAAACCCACAGAGAATAAGCCTAATTTTGACGTTACATAATTTCCTAGTTTCGAAAATTTATTTTTTGAATTGAAAATTCTAGTTCCATTCCAGGTTTAAATAAAAAATTTCACACGCTTTGGACGCGTTAACTCAATGATCTCTAGGAAAAGCATTAAAAAAAATCAAGACATGACTCAATAAAAAATAAAAATAGTCAAACCCGCTCATTATCTTGAATTACGGTTGAAAAATTCCAAAACGCTCCCTAATTAGGCGCAGCATCATGCAGTGGGTCACACCTCAGTAGACATTATCAGGAAGAACCTAACCTTTACTCTAACCCTCTCCCCTCCCCCTCACACACACACACACACACACACAATATACACACCCAGGGACAATAATTAGACAGGAGTCCAGAAAGCGCGTTCCCACGCCCCATACGCACGCCACAAGCCGCGAAAAGAAACTGTTGGGTGAAAAAAAAGGATAGAGAATTGAACCTTGGATGGACACAGGTGAGAGAGAGACAGAGACAGAGACAGAGAGAAAGAAGCAGGTGGAGAATGAGAGAGAGAGAGAAAAGCAGAGGAGGGAAAAAGGGGTGGGGAGCCTGTGTTTGCATGAGAGAGGCATGAAATATCCATCCTGAACAACTGTCCATGGAGGATAAAAAAAAAAGACAGATGATTGACTCACTGCATCAAGAAGAGGCCCTGTATTGTATTGCTTGCGTGTATAGGGGGATTTCACCCCCTTATAAATTCTAGTTTGAAAAAAGTTCAAAAGTTTAACTGATTTTTCCTTTCATTCACTCCCAGCTTTTCAAGGAACATTACATGTTCTTGCTTCTGTTGTAAAAATTGTTTGCTATTTTCTGCTCCAAAACTTTGTTACTTTTCTTGATAATGTTATGATATACAGTACAGTATTTTCAAAACAAAAACCACAGATTTGACAATCTTAGGCACCAATCAACAAAAAAATATTTTTTTAAACAGTAAAATCTTATTGCACAAAAGCTAGTGAACTTGGAATTATTATGAATTTTTTTAAGCAGCCTCAAAATTAAAATAACATATTGCATCAACTGCACAGGATGCATAACAAAAATTCAGAGTACTGTAGCTAACTGTTAAAAAATAATTACAGTTGAACCTCTCCAAGTTGAACTTCAATGGGACCAGCAAAACTTCATCTTAGGAAGGTTTTGAATTGAGCTAAAAAACAAAGCCCTTGTCTCCTGGGAAACATTGAACCATTTCTCAAAATTTTAACTCGTGATATTCTGAGGCTGAAATTACTTCTTAAATGAGTTGAAAGCATCCTGAACTTGGAGGCCAGGTTCATTTGCCTAATTCAGTCTCTAACCTCCTTTTAAAACAAATAAATTTCTGTTTTAATGCTTTTTTTCTTTTCTTTTGTCAAGAAAATAAAAGCCAACAGGCCACAGAAAATTCAACTCATGGAGGTCTAAGGGGAAAATCCTTTGACTCAGGGAGGTTTTAATTGCATTAATTCTAAGGGGATTCAGACAGGACCTGAAAAAAATTCAACTTAGGGGGATATTCAACTTAGGGCGGTTTGAGTTGTCAAGGTTCACCCGTACTTGTAAAACACCTTCATGCTTTTCTCCTAAAACCTCCCATGCTCATATTTTCTGATTCCTTTTTGCTATTCTTTTCTTAGCACTTGATGGAGAGAATCAATAAAAAAGGAACTTGATGTGTATAGAAAGTGAGTGAAAAACTAATTGGGCAAATGAAACCCCACTTTTGACTTCAGGATCCCATCAACTCACCCGTGTAGCAATTTAAGGCTCATAATACTGTATCATCATTCACAATTTCCTGCAATTCTTTCATGTTTCCTACAACACAAAATGCTTGTTTCCCGAACTCAAATCCTCTTCAACTTGGAATCTTGCCAATTTTATTTATTTTTTGTTGCTGGTCCCTTGAAATTTGACTTGGAGAGGTTTGACTGTACTGTATTTGTTTGTCCTTTCATACTGAAAGAGGAAGTTCAGCAAAATATGCTTTAAAATTCCTGTTCCTTTTTTATTTTTTGAAAAAAAAAAGAAAACCACTTTAATGCCATGCATTTTATGGTGGAAGATGCCACTCATGCCAGTCTCCCTTCTTTCTCTCTGGGTCACACACGCGCCTGTCCACGCGGACACCACCTGCAGTCACTCACCACCACCACCACCAGCAGGACAGCCGCCAGGAAAACCACCCAGAGGCGCATCAGGTTCAGGTGGCGGCTCAGCTTCCGAATGCGGGCAGACAGATGGGCGGACGGGGCGCCCCCAGACCGTGGGAACGCGTCGCGTGCACTGGTTCCCACGGACCCGGGCGTCTTACAATAAAACCCTCCCTCTTCTCGGCTCCTGCTGCTGGTTCCTTCATCTGCTGGCAACTCGGGGCACCAAGGTTTTTTTTTTTTTTTAAATAATATTTTGTTTCTTTCTGCTGATGCCTGCGTTTTGTTTCCGCGCATACTTACACGGAGTACGATTGACTGACTGACTAACTGATGAAACTGAACGCACGCCCCAAGCAGGAAACGGTTTCCGCACTGGTGTAGCAGGGGGGGACTGGTTATGTTCTTGACAAGGATTCTAGCAGAATTTATTTATACCAGGAAGCCCCTGGGAACAAGTGGAACATCTGTGTTGCAATGGAAAATTCCTATTGAAGTACAGTTGAACCTCTGTAAGTCAAATTTCAATGGACCAGCAAAAAACTCAACTTAGGGAGGTTTTGGTTTATATAGATATTTGACTTATGGGATCAAGCATTTTTATTGTGAGAAATATTGAAGAATTTCAATAAATTGTACACGGTGATTGCTTCTAAAATGACTTGACAGGGTGCTGAACTTGGAGACTTGGGTTCATTAGCCAAATTTAGTCATTCACATTATTTCAAAGCACATCAAATTCCATTTTTTTGCTTATTTCTTTCCTGTTTCAATAAAAATAATAGCCAGAAGACATAACACAAATTGACTTATGAAGGTTTTAGAGGGAAAGCCTTCAAGTAAGGGAGGTTTATAATACATTGCTATTAGGGCATTCAAACAGGGACTAGAAAAACTTTAATTTAGGGAGGTATATGATTTAGGGAAGTATTTCACTTAGGTAGATGACTCAGGGAGGTTTGACTTAGCAAGGCTTAACTGTATGACATTTAACATACTTGTGGCTAATAGGCAAAGACATGAACATTACTTTGTTGTAAGCAAATTATTTATTATGAAGAGATAAGTTGTAATGAGATTCTGCATTATATGCTGTACAATGAATAAATGAATGAATTAACCCATGAAAGATGAAACATTGAGCAGCATGTTTTGCCCCCCCCCCTTAACATTCTTATGCTACATGCCAATGCTAAAAGATTCCTCTCAGTATCAGGTAATATTTTCTATATACAGTACCAATCTTGATGTGTATAAATGATTTCCACTCCCACTTACAAAAAGCAATGCAGATATTTTTGGCAGAATTTTAAAATGTTCATTAAGGAAGGATTGAAATTATTTTAATCATTCTTAGAAACATTTCAGTTAATAAATACTATATTGGAACCAGTTTTTCTTGATTGATTGATCAGGAAGCTGCATTTTCTGCTTTTCAGGATTCACAAGGTTCAAGCAATGTTCCCACATCCAAACTCCCTCCCCTCCACACTGACATTCATCCAAACACATTCCATCTCATCAGAATTGATTTAAGCTCAATTTTTTTTGCGGATGGTGCTTCCTAACCAAGAATGTATTGCATTTTAATTGCTTGAAAATAATAAGAGTAACATTTTTTCCAGAAGATTACTCTTACTACATTTTGTTTCACCACAGAATCTGGTATAAAATATAATAAAAAAACTAATGTATCTCTAAGAAAATGTCAATTTTATTGTCTCTATGCTAATTTTGATTTAGCACTACTGTATCTTGACATTTTAAAAACACATATTATCAATGTTCCAAAGACTTTTACAACAACAAAGAAGTACTGTATTTTGTCAGTCTGAAATGCAAGTATGTACTAGCACATACAGTAAAAATATTCTTCTCCCAAGAAACGTTGGGAACATATGCTTCTGTAGATCATAACATGAAAATAGAGATATCCACTTAATTTAATTATTTCTCCAGCACAAATGGATGCCAAGAGATCATCAAATATAATGCATGATTTCCCAAAAAATTGCAATTTTTGGCTGTAAAAACTTGGGTTCACATCATACCCAGGGATTAATTTCTCTCAAAATTTCAAGTTCAAAATGCTGGCGCATGTCTTACTCGTACACGAATTAATTTTGTATTTCATCAAGTGAACGTCGCCCAGAAACGCATGAGATGACTTAGAAAGTACTGTAGAAGCATAATAAAAGTACGGGTTTCTATATTGGACAAAGATTGGACCCCATATTCTCTCTTAACCCCTGATACACCGAAAATCTGTGCTGCAGTTCCTAGAAGTGGAACTACGACCCGTATAATTACGGCATTTGACACGCTGAGGGCCGTGACTGCCTGAATAATACTGAAAAGTAAAAAAAAATTGAAAAAAAAGAAATTTAATACGAAAGCATGAAGAAAGTGAGGAACCATCAGGAAGCAAACGGAAACTTCAATGCTGGAAAACCTTCCGGGGAAAATAAGACAAAACTGTGCCAGCATCCAACTCATTTAGCAAAAGACTCTTCGGAAATCAGATGCAAAGAGCGACACCTGTGAAGCTGAATTATAAATAATAAGACCAATCCCACCCAAGACACGATGTAAATTTAATTGGTGGTTCCGTTCATGGACTTCTACCATACCAGCATAAATTTAATTATAGCGTTCGAAAAGACAAATAAATGAGTTATGAACGTCAAATTAGAATTACAGTACATACTGTATATTGTAATGGAGGACCCCCAAAATGTCCCCTAACTGAGTGATTTGAACGTACAGTATTTTGACTGGCTGAATTCTTGTAGATTCCTATAAAACAGTTTTTCGGTGTTTTTGTAAAATAAAATGGTTTATGAATGCATTATATAAATCAAATTCGAAATGAAATGTAAATATTTTCAAGGAAATTCATTTTTCGATCATTACAATATTCGATGCATGATTTTCATAAGCATGCAATATACTTGTATCTTTAGTAAATCAATAACAATCCGAAATCCATCTTTTCTGAAAAATCTCTCATGAAAGGCGTATCTATAATCCTCACACTTACACGTGTATTAATTATCTTTTGTATTTTATCGCGTGTGAGTGCTAAAATTTTTTTTTTTCTAATTCAACGGCGACTCAAGTATTTGATGTCACTTTAGTCTCGTCGCGACGGAATTCCCCGTTTAAACAGGGTTTTAAGGAGAAAAAAAATTCCCTGCCTTGTGGGGTTCGATCCCGGGGCAATTATTTGCCACTGGCGACGGCCCCTAGCGTGAGAAAGCGGTATCTTTAGCCGCACTTGTTTATAAATTCGGAAAGTAGATGACGCGCTGGTCAGCGCAGAATGTCCAATGCGATCTCACAACGACTCTCGTCCTCTCTTAAATGTCAAGATCAAATACTTCGCCCATGCCGACAAATGTGCCGAGATGATGTCAGAATGCTCAAATCAACTTCTCCTTTCATGATTGAAACGGAAAAAAGGTTTGGATTCCGGCGGGATTTCCGACACAAAAGGGCGGCTCTCAAACATCGCGTGGCGCCACGTTCAGTCAAGTTGATGCTTGCTTGCACCCAGACCAGAGGTTTTTTCCTCTGATTCCCCCCAACCCTCTTGAATATGTATCACTTCCTGAAAAGTTTGCTGCGGTATGATGTGGCGCCATTCGTTGAAAGAAGTGATTCCGTGGCGCCAGATCACAAACCGCCAATTTTCCGATCCGGCAAAGAAAAGGTTGGAATGGCAAATTTTGTTCCGGGGAATTTTACTCTGCGAAAATATGTACTGTGGTGTGTGATTGCCTACAGAAACGTGAAATAACAGGGGGAGATTTTCTGCAACTTGGCTCGTGTCACGGAAATCTTTTTGAACCCTCTTTCTTTAGACCAAGGGATATCTTGTAAGTATAAAAATTCATAAACTTTAACTACAACAAATGAAGGACACAAGTGACCGACCAAGTTTTCGAGTTATAGGCGAAACAGTGTAATGTAATAAAGACATACTGTACTAATCAAGGGAATACCTTTTCTGACTTTATCCTTCTTGTCATTTTACAATCAGTTTACATTACTGTATATTTACTCAATCCATTGTGATATGTATATACATTTTACCTGGGGACTCTTTTACTTATTGGGAACTTGAAGAAACACATGGTTATAATGAAAACAATTTCGAAATAGTCACAAATATTGTTGTGGATATACTAAAAGGATATTGCAAGGAATATTGCAATCATCAATGATATGAAAACTCTGATGGAATGAAAAACAACACTGCTAATCAGTACTTTAGTGCATTTCAGGTGTCAAAACAATTGCTCATAAAACTGAAATTAAGCATCCTGATTAATGTGAATCAGGAAATGAATCCAAAAGAAAATGTGTAAATGAGCTATGAAATAATTTGAAGTGTGTGTGAAGTTTTTGTGACAAAATATAATGATACATTGATCTTACAGAGGGCATCATGGCAATTCACTCAAATATTGTAACCACACATGACTGCACTTTTCAAATCAAGCCATATTTGTATGAAGAAGATTTATATTTGATGCCCAAGTAGTTCTCATTGGTTCCACCATCTGGTTCATTTGGTGCCCAGAACTGAAACTGAGTCTCATTGTTCTTCAAACTAGCATTGACTTTGCTGAAAATAAGAAACAAACACAAAAAAGTACACAGTTTGATTACAGTTGTTTGTACAGTATACTTTGTTTTAAAAAATGTAGGCAACAATTTTTTTTGCCATTGATTATAAAAACAAATGAAGGCAAGGAATCACAGTTGTTCCCTTTAATAACCTCCAAACATGGCCCAACTGCCTTCAAGTGACTTGTCAGAACCACAAGAATGCAGACCCAATGAAGCACCATTGCCATGTGCCATTAAGAAACCATTGGTAAGTGTTGGAAAGTCTGTCATAACATATGTTGCTGCCCAATATCCTCCATCTCTTTGGCAATACCATTAGGCACACATGAATCCAGTATATGTCACTGGTGCTGGGTACAAAGAAAGGCAAAACCAACTCTTTGTGGATGGAATTTGAAAATAGGGAGCTTCACAGATGTCAGAGTTGGATTGAGATGAACATGGTTCATCTTTCCAAAATGGTTCCCCAGTCCTGTTGATTTTGAGTGTGATGCAAAGAGATGACTCCTCACTTTAGTCAATTATAAATGCCACACCCATTCAGTGTCAGGAATTTCTACCTGAATTTTCATAATGTTTTATTGTATTTCATTACCTCACTTATATTAAACAGAATACAATACGCTCAATTTAGTTCCAAGAAATGGCGTTACAAAATAAAGGCCTGATTGCACATCACATGCGAATAAGCCACAAACCCTGCTTAAAATTTTGAGTAGTTGGAATAATTTCTACAATTTGACAAGGCCTGAAAAGTTATGTTCTTGTAGAGGTGTCGTGCATAATTTTCATCGTCAAATAGCAGGCAGTTATGTAAATTTTTTTTTTATGTGGAAAGATTTGAAAAACATTTTTCAAGGCTCATTTAGCGACATCTCTAAGGCGTTTTGAAGATTAAAACACGATAGTTATTATAACGCATACAAGAGGACGCTATCACTTAAATCTCGCATTTGTAAATCCGAGAATACATCAGTAAAAGTATGCACAGTAATTATTTTAAAGTTTTGTATCATACATATTTGCTCAATATAACTAATTTCGATTGAGGTTCTCAAGGAAATTATTTCCGCTTCACCCACCATTTTACATCCGCAATAACTGACTTATTGTATTCCGGAACAATCGGATATGATTTATTTACAGGATATTAAATAAATTTAAATGCATAAAATTTAAGGCATAACTAACCCTTTCTGCTATCGTGAAATTTTGAGGAGCAAAAATAATTAGAAATACGGAAATTTGAAATTTGGACCACCACAAGTGTTTGACAAGCATTGAATTCATTTATTACTTCGATGCACGAAATATGGCGCCTCAGAGCACAACGTGTATATATGTATGAAACATGCTTTTGCCAAATCAATCAAAAATTTTGGAGAGGTATACTCTGCATGGGGCAGAGAAATATGCCGAGAAGAGATCCTGATCTAAGTTATGCAAAAAACTCGCGAAAGTTCGCGCAGACAAAAATCTACCGCTCATTTTATGCCATTACTTCAGCAAGAAGAACAAATGCAGATTTTTTTTTGCCTTTTTGAACACATTAAAATACTAGAATATGGCGAAGCCGCGGTAATGCAATGCAAGAAAAAGTTTGAACGCGGGCAATGGTCAAAAATACTTAGAATTCCCAAATGTCGATAAATGCCCGTTTGAAAATCAAGTCTGAGGGCAATGCGCAAATGTATCCATATTGGAATGTGCAATTCGTGCCCTTCCATCCATACTCAGAGGTAAATTCATCGTAAGCGATTGTCAAACAATTTTCATCTGTTCCACCGTCGGGTTCATTCGTCGACCAAAATTGCGTTGATGGCTGTGTAGCATTTTGGGTCGAATTTATCGTTTCTGCAAAGAAAGAGACCAAACATTTTTTTTTTGTAGATACATTTTTCCAAAGGAACAAAAGAGTTTTCTGGCTAATTAGTGCCACACTAAGATTATGATCACCAACTGAATGAAATTATTCGTGGAGATTAATTTCATAGTCAGATTCACTTGAGAGATGAAAAAAATTAAACAATCCTGTGTTCAAATGGTATGAATTTTCACCAATACCTACTCTGACTTTGAAATGATCTTTCTGCCAATTGCCATTTTTATTTGGGTTACCATTAAATTAAACCGCAATAACTCAAGAATTACCCTTTTCAGAAGATTTGAATTTTCATTAAAACAATTTAGCAATACATTTTTAATGGAGTATTGAATTGAGTGTAACTTGGACAATCTACACCACGTCTGGATGTGTTGTGGAAGAAGCACAAAATTTATTTGCACAGTTGAGTACAATTTAATGTTTGCACTTTCTCTTCATTTCAACTTGTTTTAGAAAAAATTGGATCAGATATGAAATACTCTCCAAAAGGAATGTCCATATTCATAAATAAGAACGGCTCCAATAAGTGAAACCAAACTGTTAAAACTTACCAACTTTTACCAATACTCACAACCCTGATTATGTGAGTTTCTAAAAATAAACATATACACCTCAATAAACCATTTCACAATTGAAATGTCTAAAAAAACAAGGATAAATGTGAAAAGCATGGTAATGAAATTGAAGGATACTGTTATAGTGCATTTCAATGTTGTACTGACACTTTTAATTAAAAACTAACCCCCACACATGAGCCATGAGTCTTCCAAAGCTGCATCAGAACCACAAGCAAACAATCCCAGTGATGCATTGGTACCCAGAACCATAGATAGAGCGGGGGTCATAGTTGGTAACCCATTGGGTCCAAAGGTGGGAGCCAAATAGCCACCATCCCTCTTGCAGTACCACTCAGCAGACATGGTACCATTGTAAGACACCAATGGGTTCAAGGAGATGCGCAACCAGGTATGAGTAGATTGAATGTAGAAATATGGTGGATATGCTTCACAAATGTAGGATGTGATGAGACTGTCACATGTGCTGTGGCGCCGCGTTTTCCGAAGATCACGTGACCCGAGCATGCCACACACACTCGGGCATGTTGACAATAGCCGTACACGGGTACGGCGTGGTACGCGCCCGGTATGTCGTAACACCGACTACCGGGTCGGAGATCGAGGAAAGGAGGAGGAGGGCTCGAAGAGCGTGGCGTGGGCTCCGAAGCCCACAGAAGAGTTTGTGCAGCGATTCAGAGTGGACCTCTGTTGTGTTGTTGTCTGTTTGTCTGAGATATTATTTGTCTTGCAAAATCTGTCCGAAGCTTTGAATCTGAAGTGTGTTGTGAGCTTGTATTAAAGGAGCTAACTTCTTGGGACTCCCTTCTGGAGGATCAGGCCGGTAAAGGCTGAATCTGTCTTTCATTTCCTAACTCTATCCCTTGTCGATTTCCACCCGACAAACTGGTGGCCAGCGGGTGCCTTTTTTTAGAGGCCTTACCCTGGTGTTCTTTCTTACGGTGTTCAATTTTACGTGTTCGATTCACGCGGGATTTTGTGTGCCCTGAGCCCTCCCCGGTGCAACGCGTATTAAAATTGTACTCACCGTCTTTTGAGTCCCATTGCTTCCTTTCCAAATATGTCGGCCGTACCACCGACACCACCAATCGCAAGTAGGCTGCGCGCCGGGCGTCCGTCTCGTCGTGTTTTGGGACCCACGCCCGCGCCACCCACCAGCCATCCCATCTCGCGTAGTACCTCTAGTACTGGGAGTCGGGCAAGCGTGGCTTCACGGTCCACGCGCCGCTCCCAGCCAGCACCCCCGTCCGGTGCTCCAAATGAACCTCGACGTTCCGCTTCTCGGGGCCAGGGTTCCGTTGCCGCGTCGAGCCATCGTTCGGCGATTAGCGCGGCCCGCCACGGGCGTCCCGCCATGGTCAGATACGTTCTACGTATCGCGAACATTGTAGGGGCCGTCGATCACCTTCTGCGGACACCCGAACTCGGCAATCCGCAGGCAAGGTTCGAACGTTTTGTGCCCAATCTCCTCCATGCCGCTGCGCGTCTCATTACGCTGCAGCCCGGGCACTTTACCAAAGAAGAGGCGGCCGCGCTACAGCAACTTGCGGCAGAGGTAAACAGCATTATTGTTCATGCAGTTTTGTGCCCAATCTCCTCCATGCCGCTGCGCGTCTCATCACGCTGCAGCCCGGGCACTTTACCGAAGAAGAGGCGGCCGCGCTACAGCAACTTGCGGCAGAGGTAAACAGCATTATTGTTCATGCCCCTGATGTTGCAAACGGCGCATGGCCTAACCTTTGCCCCACGCAAGCGCGCGTTTTAGGCGTCGCCTTTCCGGTGCCTCCGGCGCAACCAGATAATGCCCCTGGTCCATCTGGGTCTGCGCCTCCCCCTAGCGGCCAACTTGCGCCCGCACAACGGGGAGTAGGCTCGCACCAGGCTGCATTGGTCCCGAGACCACGCGCTCCGTCGGTTCTGTCCCCGCAGTTCCCAGAGAGTTACGAGATTATGGATCCTGGGCCATCCTCTGTACTGGTCCAACCAACCAGGACATTGGATGCATACAGCCAGGCCCTCCGGATCTTTGGGACAGGACCAGCCCCACGTTTGGCCCACCATGATCTTGTTAAATCATACGAGAAACAGGCCAGGGCGCCAACCTTCCCAAAGTTTAATCCATCTGGGTCTGCGCCTCCCCCTAGCGGCCAACTTGCGCCCGCACAACGGGGAGCAGGCTCGCACCAGGCTGCATTGGTCCCAAGACCACGCGCCCCATCGGTTCTGTCCCCGCAGTTCCCAGAGAGTTACGAGATTATGGATCCTGGGCCATCCTCTGTACTGGTCCAACCAACCAGGACATTGGATGCATACAGCCAGGCCCTCCGGATCTTTGGGACAGGACCAGCCCCACGTTTGGCCCACCATGATCTTGTTAAATCATACGAGAAACAGGCCAGGGCGCCAACCTTCCCAAAGTTTACAGGAGCATCGGCGTCTGATTACCCATTTGAACGCTTATGGCATGATTTCACTCCTGTCCACATCATACCAGTTATGCGCCTAACCAATACGGAACGCATTTGCATCCTGTTACTGCACATGGATGGTGACGCACGCCGCAATCTTGGCGCCTTTGCGTACCAAGACATAAACATGGACTATCTTAGTAAGGACATTGGATGCATACAGCCAGGCCCTCCGGATCTTTGGGACAGGACCAGCCCCACGTTTGGCCCATCATGATCTTGTTAAATCATATGAGAAACAGGCCAGGGCGCCAACCTTCCCAAAGTTTACAGGAGCATCGGCGTCTGATTACCCATTTGAACGCTTATGGCATGATTTCACTCCTGTCCACATCATACCAGTTATGCGCCTCACTGATACTGAACGCATTTGCATCCTGTTACTGCACATGGATGGCAACGCACGCCGCAATCTCGGCGCCTTTGCGTACCAAGACATAAACATGGACTAACTTAGTGTAATACAGGTCCTTTTTGCTGAATATGGGCAAACCTATACACATAGGCTTAAGCTCTATCAAGAGTTCGATGCCTTGCCAGCACCCACTACATGCGCGGAGTTCTATGACTACTTTACGCATGTCATTCGCATTGCAGAAAAACTAAGCACCATTCAAACCGACATGAATCAGGCCTGCCTGCGCATGGGCCCTGTTCTTCGCGCTCACCTGCAGCGCGCCCGCTTCCTAGAGCTACTCCAGGTCCATTCTGATAAACACAGAAAAACTAAGCACCATTCAAACCGACATGAATCAGGCCTGCCTGCGCATGGGCCCTGTTCTTCGTGCTCACCTGCAGCGCGCCCGCTTCCTAGAGCTACTCCAGGTCCATTCCGATAAACATGGATTTGCGGTTGAAAATGAGAATGCCTGGGCCCGGCGCCCGCATCATCAATACCGCTTTATTCGCAATTATTTTGCGTTAACGTTGGGGATCACTGAACCACCCCCAACCCTGGCTTTCCTGGGTGCTGCGGCAGCCCCCGCGGGGACCACTCCCGCAGCAACCACCACCACACCCGCCACTCCGGCAGCAGCTGCCTCGCAGGCCGCCGTCGTGGCTGTTGCTACTACTTCAGCCACCGCCCAGCCGTCCAACGGCCGCGGTCGGCGCAATGGCAACAACCAGTCAAACGATAATCAGAATCGGACGTCCAACGGCCAGGGTCGGCGCAATGGCAACAACCAGTCAAACAATAATCAGAATCGGCGCCGCTCCTTCAACCAACAAGGGCGGTCCTGGTCCCGCAGTCCGGACCGCAAGTGGCCTCAACGCGGACGATCTAATGATCAACCACGCAATTGCTCTCCGCAGCGATCCCGCTCTGATCAGCGCGGATCACAGCATTACAATGATGACCGCAATCGGGATCAGTCCAATCAGGGCCAGCGTCATGGCCCCCCAGACTGTAACACCTGTCCCTTTTGCGCCGGGCAGCACACCCCCGGGCGCTGCCCCCTCTCACGGCAGGAACGCGTGCAGGCGGTCCGCCGCTTGCACCTCTGCCAAAATTGTTTGGGGCGTAATCATTATGTTCGCGAATGTCAGGCACAGGGACGATGCTTTCACTGTCATACAATGATGACCGCAATCGGGATCGGTCCAATCAGGGCCAGCGTCATGGCCCCCCAGACCGTAACACCTGTCCCTTTTGCGCCGGGCAGCACACCCCCGGACGCTGCCCCCTCTCACGGCAGGAACGCATGCAGGCTGTCCGCCGCTTGCACCTCTGCCAAAATTGTTTGGGGCGTAATCATTATGTTGGCAAATGTCAGGCAGGGGGACGATGCTTTCACTGTCAGCAGTCCCATCACTTGTCCACCTGCAATCAGCTCAACAATCAGAATAATGCGCGCCCAGCAGCGGTCGCTCAAGCCGTTGTTGCTGCTCCCGCCGTCAACCAGGCAGCGCCTGCCGCACCAGCAGCACCAGCTGCGCCCGCTGCAGCAGCCCCCACGGCAGCACCTGTCGCATCAGCATGACATGACCCGGCGGCTGAGCGTCGAATGGTCCTGGTTGTTTCAGCTCCGAAACCAGGGCCAACTTGCGCATTCATGGAAACGGCCGCCATCCGCTTGGAGCCTTCAGGGGTTGTTGCACATGCCCTCCTGGACTCCGGGGCACAGCTCACGCTCATCACCCGGTCCTTAGTCCAGCGCTTAAATCTACCCATTGAGGCCTGTCCTCCGTACGCCATCGGTGGCGTTGAACGGGGACGACCAGTAACTACATCTGAAGCAGTTGTGCTCACCTTCAGGGGGGAGGTTGCAGACTCCCCTAAAATTATGACCACGGCAGTGGTAATTCCACATGATGGACCTTGGCGAGGAACCAATCCCAGCGCCCTCCCATGGCTGGAGTCCTTTGCCCCAGTCTTGGCCGACAGGCGCATTCTGACTGACACCGCTCTCTCCTTTGACGTTGTTCTGGGGGGAGCAGACCTGGTGCAGTTATATCAAAACGTTGCGCCTCCCATTCGGACTGCAGGCTTTCAGGGCATCCCTACTCATTTGGGTATTGTGGCCCGTGGGATTTGGGCCTCGCAGAAATTGCCAACCCCTGTGTTGGCCCCACGCGTTTGCATGGCACTGGAAACTCCCAGCCTAGTATCGGATGGAGAGCTTAACAGCCTCATCCTCCAATATGCCTACCAAGATCAAATAAATATTTTGGGGGACCCACGGCAAGAGCAGTGCTCCCGCGACGAAGGGTTTCAGACATACTTGAAACAACTTGTCGTCAGTCCAGGTGGCCGTGTGGTCGCACCCCTTCTCAAGACCTCGCTGTATCCTGCCCAGTGTAAGCCAAATCTGCGCACTGGGGCCCAGCGTAGTCAATCTGTTGTGAAACTCCTAAAAGCTGGTGGTCCCTTGGCCACAGCCTACGAGGAATTCTTTAAAAACTGGATAGATGAAGGCATTATTGCGCCTACCACAATAGATGAAATGAATCAAAGAGGCATTGCATACACAGAGCTGCCGCATCATGGGGTTGCGCGCCCTTCCAGTGCATCCACCCCTCTCCGCGTGGTCATGGCCG